GCTTACATACCCGGCCGGTCCCGTCGTTGAAGTAGTCCGGCTGGTCCATGTAGAGCACCCGGTTGAGCTTGCTCTGTAGGAAGGCACTCTTCATGTCGAGCTGCATCAGGTTGAGGTCGAGGACGGCGACGATGCTGAGGCAGATCCTCAGCATGACGTAGCTGCTCACCGGCGCGTACGTCTCGTCGTAGTCGGCGCCATACACCAGCGTGAAGCCCTTCACGACCAGCCTCGCCTTCTTGCGCTCGACGGTGTCGTCGATGTGGTACTTTGTCGTCAGCACCCACCGGTTCTTCATGATGTTCACTCCCGGTGGGCGTTCGACCAGCTCCCACGTTCTTATGTCGATGATGCTGCGGATCTCCTCCTCCATGGCGGCCTTCACTGCCCCTCCCTTCTAGCTCGCCAACGCCTCCTTCACCGTCATCGTCGAGATGTCCCAACGTTGCTCAGGGTCGGCGTGTATGTCAGGGTCGAGCTCCGGCAGCTCGTCATCGTTCTCGGCGTCGTCGTAGAGCAGGTCATCGTCGTGCACGTCGTACACCGTGGTGAAGGCAGCGGGGACGAAGAAGTCAGGCGGCCTCCAAATTTGGCCTGACGTCCAAGGTCCAGGCTGAACCTCCACCACGTCGCTGTCGGTGGACTCCTGGGCGTCGCTGTCGGTGGACTCCTCGGCGTCCTGCTGCACCACGGTTGGCGTCCCAGCCGTCTTCTACCCCGTGGTCGGCTCCTCTACCGACTGCCTTGTTGCCGACTGCTCTGTGGTCGGCTTCACCACTGCCTGCTCCCTTGTCGGCTGCTGCCCTGCTGGTGCCTTCTTTGCCGGCTTCACCCAAGTCGGCTGCACCTCCTCGGCCTGCTCCTCCCCCATCAATGTCAACTTCACTCCCACGTCGACTTGCTGGTCATCAAGTCGGCCACCGACGATGCTCTTGGCCGGCGCCGAAGGCGACGTCCCACTTCTCCCCTCATCGCCGGAGGCCGACACCAAAGTCAACCCGCTCAGGTCGGCCATGAGGGGAGGGGCAGGGGGTGCAGGGAGAGGGGAAGGAGGACGGACGATCTTAGTGTCCTCATTAGCAAGCTCACCGGCCTCGGCGAGCATAGGGAGCGTCGCCGTCGAGGTGTCCGTCGGCGGGTGGACCGGTGTCCGCCTCAGCGCCGGTCCGTGCTCCGACTTCCACACCTCCAGCGACATGCTCTCGTAGAACACCACGTCCGACGTGGTGACTACCCGGTTTTCGGCGATGTCGAGGAGTTCCCAACCTTTGCTCTCCTCCGACACGCCGAGGTGAAGGCCCCACCCGGCCTTCGACTTCAGCTTCCCACCACGCTGCTACTCGGGGACCAAGAACTGTGCCATGTAGCCCCACACACAAGCCAGCGTCAAGTCGGGCTTCTTGCCAATCAGCAGCTGGTACGGTCCCGGCGGCAGCGTCGACCGCTCCAAGTAGTTGCACCCAGATGGCCTAACGCAAAGCAAGGTGCCACCAGTGGTGCTGCACGCCCATGTGCAGAAGCATCGTCCGCACCGACTCCACCATCGTCCTCATCTCCCTCTCCGCCATGCCATTCTGTTGCGGGGTGTACGGGGAAGTCAGGTCATGGACGATCTCCTTGCCGTTCACGAAGTCTGTGAACTGCTTCTTATGGAACTCCCCTCCCCGGTCAGAGTGCAGCATTAATACCGAATTCTTCGTCTGTCGCTCAGCCACCGACAGCCACTGCACGAACTCCCGCAGCACATCCGACTTCTTGGCGACTGTCCTCACTCACACATAGCGGATCTTGCGGTCCTTCAGCAACAAGAAGTATAGGCTGCCATCTTTGGCAGCCACCCACAATGGCCCGCACAGGTTGATGTGCACGACAGCTAGCGCATCGTCGGCGTCGGAGCCCTGGTCGTGGAAGTTATGCCGCGGCAGCTTCCCGCCGACACACGAAACACACGGTGAGTCGGCGCCAGACGCCGGCTTGAGGTCCAGCCCAGTGGCAACCTCATGCTTCGCCGAGCTCCAGATGGTGTCTATGCCGACGTATGCAAGCCTGGCCTGCAGCCTGTCCGGCGTCGACTTCGTCGCCAAGACAATCGCCCGCATGGCCACGACCTCCGTCGTGGTCGACGTTGACCTCGTCAAGCAGGGACGCAGGTCGGTGTAGAGGACTCGCCCGTAGTAGGACGCCTGACCGAGGACGTCTCCCGCCGCTGAGACAAGCAACATCCCGTCGCCGTCCTCCTGCAGCTTCACACCATTCTCCTTCAGCTAGCCGACCGAAAGCAGGTTCGCTCGCACGCCCGTGACTAGAGCACGTCGGGGATGAGCACCTGCTTCGTGGCCTCCCCTTGCAGAGCGACAGTGCTGCGGCCCTGGACGTCCTGCAGCGCCCCATTGAAGCCGCGCACATGCTTGACATTGCTAGAACTCCTTCGTCCCCATCAGGTGGTGGGAGCAACCGCTGTCGAGCAGGACCACCGACACGTTCGCTTGCACAGCTGCCGCCATAGCCTGGAAGTCCTCGTCAGCCTCCGGCGCCAGCGAGACGGTCGGCTCCAACAAGCCGACCAGCGAGCATGACGCCTCCTTGTCGTCTCGCCCTTTGCTGCCTGCAGAGGAGTCGGCATCCTTCGCCGAGGCCGACTTGGTTGACTGCTTCTCCTTGCCCAGCTTATTTCCTCCTCGACGAAGACGACGGCTGCTAGACCTCTCGCGGCCTCCCTTAGCATCGTCATCGTCAGAGTCACTGCTGTTGAGGCACTCGAAGGAGAGGTGGTCGGGGCTGCGGTAGATCCAACACTCCCGACGTCGACTTCTTCCTCCTCGACCGCCACCCGTGGCCAACTTCTGCAGGTCGGCGTCCTTCGCCGGCTTCCATACGCTACTACCCCCACTGCCAAACTGCTCACACTATCCCGGGTCGACGTAGTTCACATGCGCTAGAAGCTCCTGGGACCGCTCAGCCTCCTACATCGCATCGTCTTGCAAGATGTACGAGGTCAAAGTGTCCTCGGAGCGTCGCCCGCATGCTCGGCGCAATCGATTGTCGCTTTAGTAGGTTGTAGCTGCTCGGGAGTCCCTGCATGACATGCATGACGTATGAAGCGGTTGAGTACTGCGCGCCGGCCATCCTTATGGTGGCGAGAATTCGCCAAGCTCGGTTGCAGTAGTCGATTGCTGTCTCCTGGTCACCCATACGCAGGTGCGTCAGCTGCCCTTCTAGCTGGGCAATGAACAGGTCGTCGGTAACCTGGTACGTCGACTCGATGAAGTGCCACGTCTGGTGACCGGCGTCAAGGTACTCCCTGCACGACTTCAAGGCGATCTGCATGCCCGGCGAGCAGCACCGCGAGATAACCGTGAAGGTCAGCAGCTGCACCGCTCGAAACTCTGCACGCAGGTCGGGGTCCTCCGGCGTCGCCACGGTACCGCGGGCAAAGCCGATCAGCCCTGCCATCTCCGACTGGGGCTCGATGGCTTCCTTCCAGTAGAGAATGTCGGGTCGGCCGACCAGCAGGGGGGTGACCAAGATCCTGTCCGGCGTAAACTTGAAGTAGCCGTAGCTCGGTGCAATCCCGCCCGCCGTCACGTGGGTCGCTGACATCGGCGACAATCCGCTTCGTCGACCTCCAACGTCGCCTTGCGAGGAGCCTGCAGCTGCCGACGACTGCATTCATCGCGCCTGAATGCCGCAGACTTTATCGGCGTGAATCACACCACGCTGCCTCGACATGCCTCCCGCACTGCTGCCGACTTGGCCACCACCGGCGTTGACGCCCGCGTTGACGCCGCCCTCGGTGTTCACCGGTCGAGGAGAGGCAGGCCGAGAAGGGTGCTCCGTCGCCCACACGGCACGGATGCTAGCCTCGACGACCGCCCAGGGCAGGTCGCAATACTCGTTAGCCTCGTGACGTCTCCTCGCGTTCTCCATCCGTGCCTCCAGGGTGTCCACCACCCTCGTGTCAACTACGGCACCTATCATAGTGATGACCGCACAGCTGCCGGCCTACGAACACAAATTAGGTAAGTGAGTCGAGGATGAAAGAAAGCGAAGCAATCGCTGAGGTCGTACCGGAACCAGCGACAAAGGCTTGTACTAGACTAGTAGTAGCTGCAGCTCTTACATGAAAACTCTCAGAGGCACCTAGGCTAGAAACTACACACGCACCAAGACTGGAAACACAAGTCCCTACTCGTGCAGGCGGGAAAGTTCCTAGACGAGGTAGGTGTGACTCAACTGGGCCAACCGTACTCTGGTGAAGACACGAAGGCCAGTGCGGTGGAATCGTGACAGGTCCAAAACGCTCACGATGGAGGTCGTCGAGGCGACGGTTGCATCGGGATGCAGAGTGGTGAGGACACCAGCTAGTAGTGCCAGCACCAGGGCCAATCAGGATCCGGTACCCGGAGGGAGCGACGCCACACCAACTGCTGGCTAAGCCACTATTGTGACCAGCACTCCTTGGACTCTCAGGTCCCCACTTGCGGGAGTGCTGCAGCTGTTGTCGCTGCGGCTGCTCCTAGTAGACGCTATGGCAGGAGCTAGACACGGGGTACAGGTACGGGTACAGGTAGCGGGTACGGGTAGCCGTGAGGCCTTCTAGCTGGGGGTCGTGGAGCCTTCGAGCTTTGGGGGGGGGGGGGGGGAGGGGGGGGAGCTTCTAGCTGGGGGCCACGCGACCTACGAGCTAGGGGCCACAGGGCCTTCGAGCTGGGGGCCACGAGGCCTTCTAAACCCATACGGTCTAGTGCGGCTATGTGTGGTTGAATGCGGTGGAGCGCGGTTTACAAGGGTTGAGTGCGGTACTGAGGGGTTGAGCGCGGTTCAGGGGGGGTTGAGGTCATGTGCGGTCTACTTAGGTCCTGTGCGGTCTAGCGTGGTAGAGGGCGGTACCAGTATGGGTAGTCAAGATGTGTACGAGCTGCGGTTACAGTGTAGTACGTTCAAGTACGGTTTTGCATGTTGGATGCGGTGGAGTGCGGTTCAGTGCGGTACCAAGCGGTTTAGTGAGGTTGAATGTGGTACTGGGAGGTTCCAAGGTGCGTGGCTTGGGTACGGGTTGAAGGTATGGCGGCTGGTGGTAGGTTGGGACGAGGGGGGAGATGGGGAGGTGGTGGAATGGGGAAGTGATGGGGAGGGGACAAGAAGGTGGTGGGTAGGGGACGGGGAGGCAACAGGATGGGGACGGGCAGGCAAAGGGAAGGGGACTCAAAGGCGAAGGGATGGGGACGGGGACGCGATGCGAGGGGGAAGTGATGGGGAGGGGACGGGAAGAAGGCGGGGAGGGGACGAGGGGGCGACGGGATGGGGAGAGGGAGGCGACGCGATGAGGATGGGGAGGCAACGGGAAGGGAATTGAGAGGTGACCGGAAGGGGACGGGGAGGTGACGAGAAGGGGACGGGAAGGCGACAGGATGGGGACAGAGAGGCGATAAGGAGGGGAAGTGACAGGGAGGGGATGGGAGGAGGCGAGGACGGGACGGGAAGCGACGAGATTGGGACGGGGAGGCGAGGGGATGGGGATGAGAAGGCGATGGGAAGGGAACTGGGACGCGACGCGTGGGTGATATGTAAAGGACGGGTGGCAATGGGGAGGCGATGCGGGGGTGGGGGAGGAGGGGGGGATGGGGGGGGTAGCGCAATCTGGCGCGCCCGCGGGGGCCTTCTAGGTTGCGACGTGGGGGGGGGGGGGGGGGGGGGGGGCGCGGGGGTCCCTTCTAGCTCGATTTGGGGGGCCCGCGGGGGCTGTTATAGGTTGCGGCGTGGGGGGGGGCCATGGGAATCCCTTTCTAGCGCAATCTGGGCCCAGTTCGGCAGACATAAAAAAATGGGCCTCGGGGGATGGGCTACAAAGAACCGACCACCCTGGAACCTTCCTTGATAAGCGCTTGAAAGGTTATCAAGGCTCGATATAAGCGGATCTACACCAAACCAGACAATAATGGAATGCCAGCCGAACGTCCCTTTTTCCGTTGGCATTTTCAAACCCGTTTTTTTTCATCGAGCCATTTTCTCTGGCAAAGTGCCCATTTTCTGATCCACCGCATTATGCCGCCTCGAGGTCCGGCACCATGCGGAGTATCAGTGATTTGGGGCAATCAAAAGTGACTGCTAGCCAATCACATGATCACGCGATCCATCCGGGCAAGTGCCTTCTAGCTTCTGCGAAAATAATTTGTTAATTTATGCCATCAATCTAGACCCAACTAATGCCAACCGAACACCCAACCCCGTTTTCTCGAAGGTGCACTGCAGCTATAGTCCGGTTTCGAAGCTCTTTCTAGAAATGCCTAGGCGCCATTTTTTGGGGGCCCGTTAAATATGCCCATAATGGCCATAATGCCCATAATGCCATCCGAACTGGGCCCTGACAGGCCCGTAAGGGTCGTTCTAGGTCGTGACGTGGGGGGGCCCTCTGGGGTCCCATTCAAGCGCGAATTGGCAGGCCCCTGGAGGCCGTTCTAGGTTGCGACATGGGTGGACCCGCAAGGGTCTCGCTAGCGTGCGATTCAATGGGGAGGTGCAGAGCACGATGGGGGGTGACGTGGCGCCACGGGTAACGGAGTGCTAACGGTGGGCCCATAGGATTTTTCACGCTCTATATCATGCCACGAATGAATGAATGACTAATGATGAAACATAGAAGGAAGATGTAAGACAACCCTAACCCATGCGGAGAATAGGCGATTGTGGGAGAGCCTGGGCGCAGAGTTGCTAAGTGAACACGGACTTGGTGGAAACCGAATACTGATGCCAAACTTGGTATCCAATAACGAAAGGAGCGAAATTGATTAAATTATATATTGATAGATTACAACAGAAACAACATGAACCATATAGAGAGAGACATAGTGACGTGTGCAAGAACGTTTAACAAGAACGTTGTTCATGAAGAACATTGTTCAAGGAGAATATGCAAGCACGTAGTCTAGACCACGAGTATAGCATCATGCCCTCGTGAGGTCAAAGGGAAGCCCGGTGATGAAGTTGAGGCTAATGACTTGCCATGGCTGCTCCGATACGGGTAGAGGCTGAAGTAACCCTACTTTATTCTGCTTGCTACTCTTCATCCGTTGGCACGTGTTGCATGATGTGACGGACTACTGCACGTCTGCTGCCATCCGGGGCCAGTAATAATACTTCGCTATCCCTGCGAATGCCGTATTACTCCGAAAATGTCCCGTGTATGCCACGTCGTGAAACTCCTCTAATAAGATTTGTTGGAGCGGGGCACAAATCGGTACCCAAATTTGATCTGCTAGTAACCCAACCGTAGGTCCAGGTTCGAAAACACCGTTGCACCACGCAGTTGGTCTACTAGATCGTTTATGCGTTGTATGGGGTATTTGTTCTTGACTGTCTGTTTCTTAAGTGCCCAGTAGTCGATACACATCCTTAAACCACCCGTCTGGCTTTGGAGTGAAGACAACAAGGGTGCCATAGGGAGAGGTGGATGGGCGGATCAGTTTTCTATCCAGTAGGTATTCATTCTGCTCGTTCATGTTTGTCAGTTCGGTTGGATTAAGTCGGTATGGTGCACGGGAGACTGGTTTTGCACCTGGTTCCTCCAGGATCTCATGCTCGTGGGTTTGCGCTGGAGGCACTCCTGCTGGTAAATTATTTGGCATGATATCTTTGTACTGCTCCAATACCTCCTGTATTGGTGCAGGTAGCTCTGCGTTCGGCTTCTCCTCCTCCGCTACTGCCATGACCAGTGCTAAGTAGCTCGTGTTGCTTTCGATCACCGTTCGTTCGAACCATGCAAGTGTCGTTTCAGAAACATCTCTTGTATCCGTCTAGCTTCGCAGGTCCACACGTTTCCCGTTGTTGTAGATGTACGCCTTCTGGTGAATTGCTTCAGAAAATCACGCCTTAAGATGAAATCTAGTCCCTTGATGTTCGTGACCGTCAATATCGGGTTTCATCTCAGCGCACCTATGTGCAACTACAAGGTTGACTCGCCGTGGATAGTAAGCTTTATACCGTCCACCATTATAGCTGTAAACTGGGTCTCCTCCAAGGATTCCCCAATTTCTTCCAACGTCCCGCGGTCGCACACTGAGTGGGACACACCATTGTCCACCAATGCTTTGAGGCGACGGCCTTTGCAGAGCACCTCGAGTAGGAGTGGTTTCTGCTACGCTGCGTTAATGGGATCATAGGGTACATCAAAATAATCATTACCCCTATTCCCTCTATCCGGCTCAGCACTCTTAGCTTCCAACTTTGCGATCGCTAGGTCGATCCGTGGCTACTGGCGATTCCCATTATTTTACTTCAGGGGTGCCGCACTGTTGTTGTTCTGCAAATCCGCTCGTGCTTTTTCATTTTCCAACACGTCAGGATCCGATGTCCGGCTGCGGCTTCGCATCGACCTTGTCGATGTCCATCGGGTCGGCGGTCGTTGCGTCGTGTGTCGGGTTGATCTCGGGTCAACGTGTCGAATCGTTCGGCTGCACACACTATCTCGCAGAAGTTACTGTACTTCACAGCGATGACCTGCCGGCGGACTTCGGTTTTTAGCCCCTCAGTATACACTTAAATTTTCCCCCCTCGATCAGGTCGGTAATTTGGTTGAAGAGGTTTTTCATCTATTGCGTGTATTGTGTTACACTGCCGTACTGTTCATGCTGATGAATCTGCTGCCGCGCCATAAGCTCCAATTTATCAGTTCGAATTGTTTTATTTAAGCTGCGCGAAACTGCGTTCACGAGCCGTCGCCTCGGATTTTGTCGCTATTGCAACAGTATCGCTGCGAGCTGAATATGCATTGGATCGTTTGTCGGGGTTGTACAGCCAACAGCCTCGAAGTGAATTTCAAGGGTCGCAATGAATCGACGAACGTCAGTATCCCTCGCATTCCGATTGGACATCTCCGGTAGCCTCAGACGTGCCGCCTCAAGATTCACAGTAGCTGGTGCCGCTGCTGCTGGGTGAAATGTCGGTGTCGCCGCTGCTACTGCTCGTCGCCGCTGCATTCACTGCTGATTGTCCCGAATTGTCCCCCCAATACAGGTACTGGAACGCTTGTTTGTCCTTGCGGTCCCATGCTTCTTGTGCCTTAAGTAGCTCCTCCGCACTAAGCCATTGCCTTCCGATTCGCGGTGCTGCTGATCCACCTCCACTTCCCTTGCTTATGGATGAGCTAGAGGCTCCCCCAGCCCCTGCTCCCACTTGGCTACACACTCCAGCACATGCCTCTCCTTCATCAGCTTCAAGTCTTTGCTTCGATCCCTCCAAACCACCCTCTAGGTCTTTAATACCTTGCCAAAGCGTAAACTGGAACCGCCGATTTCGACGAAACATTGTGTGCAGCTCACGTAACCTATAAAATGAATAGGTACGCGTTGGAAATGTCTTAATTTCTACTCTTCCGAAAGGCCGATCGCTATCGCGATTTAAGTGCGACGGGTTATCCTGGCTGAATTTTTTGTCAGCCATGGATGAGGTCAAGAAAGTAGCTTTTGTTGTATGCACTTGAGTGTGCGTGCATGTCATCCTAACGTCCTGTTGTGTGCTCGTGCAATTCATGCTTGCGTCATTTGCATGAGCATAAATCCTTATGCATGGCTGTTGGATTTTATCACCTCTGTGTTTTTCTCCAAGTCTAAATGCTTGATCGCACAGGAGAAATCCAGAGCTTTCCAACGATACCAAGATCGCCTTATTCCGACCAAGATCGCCCAAGTTACATGATTTCCAAAATTTGGGAATTTTATCTTGATTTGGGATTTTAACTAAATTGGGCGATTATTGGAACATGACTACAAAGGGATCTTTGGTTGGATGGTTAGGAAGGCAAGTTTGACTTTTGAATTGGGGTGGCTAGAAGTTTCTAGCATGGGTTGCAAATGTTGCAACACCTAGGCAAAATCCAATTGGATTGGATTTTGCATGTGACACCTCAAGGACCTCATTATGAGGGTTGCATCTTTGATGCTAGGAAGGTTCCCGCCATCCTTCCTAAGCATTTGGAGAGCCTTCCCTCAAAAAGTTCTCTTGAAACCCCCCAACTCCTTATTCTATGTATAATGTTTGTTCTTCTTCCATCGTTGTTAGTGAAAACAGCATCTATACGTTTTCAGTTGGTTCTCACTCCCTAGACCATGAAATCAAGTGATTTAACTTGCTAATGGTAGCTAAGTCCGGCACGCACAATCCTACCAAGCGGATTTGCTAGTTGAGATTTGAGTGTTGTAAGTCTTTAAAGTGACCAGATTCTATGCAACAGCTTTAGTAAGAGTTTAGATCTGAAAAGTGACGAGTTTGACAAACCCTATGATCCCAACCCCCACCCTACAACAATCCTTAACAACCTAATAAGCCCAACTAGCAACACTAAAGGTGTTGTAGTAACTAGCAAATGTTTGTTGGTGCTTGTTGGATGAGAGTTCAATTCCAGCCCCAACAAGTCTCCCAATCAGATTTTGCCCAAGCCCTTGTTGGATGCACGTCATTCTGAGTGCATGTCATCCTAACGTCCTGCCGAGTGCTCGTGTTATTCATGTGTGCATTGTTTGCATGAGCATTTGTCATTGTGCATGGCTGTTGTATTTTACCATCTCTGTGTTTTCTCCAAGTTTAAATGCTTGATCATGCAGGAGAAATCCAGAGCTTTCCAATGATGCCAAGATCGCCTTATTCCGACCAAGATCGCCCAAGTTACATGATTTCCAATACTTGGATTTCATATTACCTTTTGGGGTTATATCTAATTTGGGTGATTACTTGGGACATGACTATAAAAGAGATCTTTGGTTGGGTGGTTAGGGAAGGCAACTTTGACTTTTGGATTGGGGTGGCTAGAATTTTCTAGCATGGGTTGCAAATGTTGCAACACCTAGGCAAAATCCAACTAGATTGGATTTTGCATGTGACACCTCAAGCACCTCATGATGAGGGTTGCATCCTTGCTGCTAGGAAGGTTCATACCATCCTTCCCTAGCTATTGGAGAACCCCTTCCCTCTCATGGTTCTCT